AGACAGAGTCTTACCACGTTGCCCAGAGTGCCATGGCGTCACAGCTCACAGCAACCTCAAACTCTTGGGCTCAAGCGATTCTCCTGCCTCAGCCTTCCAAGTAGCTGGGACCACAGACACTCACCACAACACATAACTATTTTTTTGTTATAGTTGTCATTGTGTTTAGCTGGCTTGGGCTGGTTTTGAACCCACCACCCTTGGTGTATGTGGCTGGCTCTGTAACCACTGTGCTACAGGCACCAAGCTGCATAATGTATTTTCATCTCAAATCATGTCATGTGAGGGTGTGAATAACATCTTCGTTTCCCTCTGTTTTGGTTCCTTTTCTCACTTGTCCCTACTTGACTACTTATTTCGTTACTTTCTCAAAGTTGTCCTTTAGCATCTTCTAAGTTTTTGATGAGTTTTTCTACTATCACTATTGTATATTTTATGTTTTGCTTTTTCTCGTCCCTTCTTAATGTTCTAAATGATTAACAAACAGCTAACAGAGAAAGGAGATTAAAGTTGATTAAATCAAAGTAATCAGTGGCATTAGCACTCTTGTAATTTATTTAGCAAGGTTCCCCCCTTAAAAAACCCAAATATAAACATCTCCTAGATATCTTATGATCAATAAAATAATTACTGTCAAATATAGCTTAAAGTATGTGAATGATTCCCGAAGAATATGCATTTAAAGGATTAATAAGCTACAAAAATATTCTGATAATCTTAGTCTCTTGAAATTGTCCTACTTGGGCCAGTTTCACGTTAGATTCCATATCGGGATGATTTGTTTTTTGTTTGTCTTGAGACAGAGCCTCAAGCTGTCACCCTGGGTAGGTTGCTGTGGCATCATAGCTCACAGCAACCTCCAACTCCTGGGCTCAAGCGATTCTCCTGCCTCCCCCTCCCAAGTAGCTGGGGACTATAGGGGCCCAACACAACGCCCGGTTATTTTTCAGTTGTAGCTGTAGTTGTTTGGCTGGCCGGGCTGGATTCGAACCTGCCAGCTCAGGTGTATGTGGCTGGCACCTTAGCCACTTGAGCCACAGGTGCCAGCCGGGATGGTTTGTCTTATAAAAATTTGATGAAGTACAGTATTGAAACATTAAATGTTAATGATATCCCTACCCTATTCTATTTAGGTGAAATACCATTGGCTTAAGAGAAAATAAAATGATCCCTGGCACATCATGTCTTTCACCCTTGTATCCTTAAAAGCTGAGCATAGTTTTTGCTATATATGGTTGTATGAATTGTCTCTTTCACGAAGATATAGATGCCACCAGTACATAATGATTCACCAGTAAGAAACTGGAGCTGGAGAGTTCTTGTATCTTCTCATTAAGACCCCCGCCCCCCCGCAAATGAAAATAAAATACAATCCTCTCAAAATGAATGCAAGTTTGTAATTTTAAAAATCGTAGAGAAATTACATTCAGGTTGCTTCGAATTCTGGTAAGTGGAGGATGGTGTGTGCACAAGATGTACAGTAGTTAAGTAATTTAAAAGAGGTATGAATGATCTTAATTTCGGAAGGACAGAAAATAGCCTGACAATAGATAGATGGTTAAGATGGAGACTATGCTGAAAAACGTAGGGAGTACAGTATAAAGAATGCCATATAAACTCCTTAGTCTGATTGTTTACAACAATGGAAGACCACAGCACAAGAAGAAGCGCGCACGTAGCTCTCCTAAGAATGTTAAGTGAAAAGGTCATTTAACGGGTCGATATTTTAAGCAAAAGTTAAATCACAATGGCTTTTAAAAAATTAACACGCATTAATGGTCAGTATTTAGTAGATTATTGAAAGAAGCAAGATGCACACATCGTTTCCACAGAAGTCTTCATATCCCATCCCATTTCCCCGTAGCCAGCACTCCGCTCCCGGGGTCTCACTCAACCCACTATTCCTTGGCCACCACACGCCACTCCCGTTTCAGCCCCCTACAAGTAAGATTTCCTTTTTTTCATGCCCTCCACCCACACTCAAGGATCCCAACGAGGTTCTAATTCCGAGATTGCAGCCTGCGTGCCCCAGAAAATAAAAGCTGCTCCCCGCGCCGAAGTAGGCCTGCCCGGCAGGCGCGAGAGTGGCCCGCAGCGCACGCGGGGCCGCTCCGGCCTGGCCGGCCACGGGCCGCGGAAGGGCGAGGGCGGGGGCACACAGGGATACGGAATGTATGGGCATCTCCAGGGGGGTGAGGCGTCCCTCAGCCGCACCAACCCGGCCGCCCCGCCGCCTCTGGTACCGAATCTGAACCGTGGTCCTGCAGAAACTTGATAATGTCCTTCTTGGGCAGCTGCTCGCTGCGCAGCTGCTCCACGGTCCACGCCCGCTGAGGAATGGCTGCCGCCATCTTCCCCCTGCTGCCACCGCTTTACTGAGCCAGCCCGCCTCGGTTCGGCATCGCCCCGCCCGTGGGGCGTGGCGCAGGCGAGGGGCGGGGCCAATGCTCCCACAGGCGCCACTGGGGCCCGTCCCCGAGTGACGTAAAGCCTGTGCGATGGGGGCTTCTTTGTTAAGTCCGGTTAAAAAACGTACCGAGGTGGCCTCCGCAGACAACCCCTAGCGGTCATCTACTCTTAATTAGACCCACTTGTAAGGGGACCTGTAGCGAGAGTGATATTTACCAGTTATTATCCAGGCTTATTACCTACTGGCTACTAGGCCTTTAAAGCTCCTGTCTACATCCTGTTTAAGGAAAACAGCAGCATACAGACTCCATTCTAATCTCTCATTTTATCTAGTTATAGCCTTAAAATTCACACCTGTATTGGCTCAGTCCTTGTCCATGAGAGCAACGCATATTCTGTGATCGCCCATTTAAAGACCACACAAATGAAACTTGAATGTAAACTGTACCTTTCCCTTCCCCCATAGAAACACGAGAAAGTCTGTCTAAAAGCCAGCTCAGAAACTTGAACAAACGAAACAAAGTAATGAAGCTGCACTCAGGATGCCGCTTAATGAGCGTGATGAGGATGGCAGTATGAATAACAGTTCCGTGTGTGTGTGTACTTTTCCTCAATACACAAGGAAATACGCTTAGGGAGGTTACTCAAAGTCATCAAGTTGAGAGTAGAGAAGCCAGAATTGTCTGAGAAAGCTCTGGCTGCAGTGGAATGACTACACACCAATATTTACTGCTTTTATTTGTAATAGAGATGTAGGCTCGGCGCCTGCGGCTCAAG